CTGAATCTAGGTGAATTATGAGTTCGGTAGGCATATATTGTATGGGCATATCTGTCATAAAGGAACAGAATCAATAAACATTCATGACAGCCAAAGATTATTATAGAGTTTTAATGAGCTATACGACACCTTTCATTTTGTTTGATGAAGCATAATATTTGCTCTGTTTTATCTCGAATGCTAGTTCTGTGTTGTTCTGCATTCGTTTCACGAGGAGGTTTATAGAATTTTTTGTCATTTACAAATTTCTAAGCGTCAGTCTTTACTTCGTGATATGTTCATACATTTTCTCCAGATGTCAAAGGTTCGTCGTTCGGCTGAAAAATGGCAGTCTTTGGCGGTAACGTTCAAACGATTAACTTTAATTCATTCTTTCGACCTGATAATTGGGTTGCCAATTTTATTACATGACAACTTGGCAAGTGATGTCATATTTCGCTTGACTTAACACTGGTTGAAAATTTGAAAGTTTATTGCTTGAATGGAGTCGCGAAAGAACTCCATTTTCAGCTTATACAAAAATGCATGATCATCGCACGTAATGGTTGCATACAGCGAGTAAATAGCAGTACTATGTTACATTGAACATAATTAAGTAATGCTGTCCAATCGCAGAGAAACTGCGCTGAGGTAGGGACAATAAATTTTCGGTAGAGTTCGGTTCTGGCTAGATATTGACATATCGGGATCTTGTGGATGTGCAACGCGACAGACACTGCGCAAGGGTGTACTGTAGGACAGTGCTAAAAATTTTGCTTCCCATGTGAATACCGTGAGCCACTGCTGACTCTAGATCATTTTTAGACAAACCACTGAACGTTGATGCAGGTCTAACCGATTTTCTTAAGGTTTTACAGTCACAAGCCAGTAACCAAGAAAAGGCTATGGCTGCCTCATGGGCAAATAAGGGAAGAATGTATATTAAAAAAGTTGTTAATTACTTTCCCGAGTGTAGGCAGGTAGGTAGACTAGGGTTGCTTTCTCCAGTCTCTTCGCGTATAAAGATGCTCTGCAACTCTAGTTTGCTGATTCCTGAAGTGACGATGCCAGATGAGGTTCATAAGTATGTTGTACATGGATCACAGGTTTGTCGTATATTTTTAGGGTACGTGATGAAAAGTTGAGGAGTACAGGATTTTTGGTATCGCTCATCGTGCATATTACCCTATTGGTATTATGAATGTTTAGACGCAGTTCATTAGAGAAGAGTAGGAAAAATCATTTATGCCGTTTCAGTGGATATTCCAATCTTCAAATGACCTCAGAATGGCACCGTCTGCCTATAAAATATATTTATTGGAAGCACTGATAATGCAATCATTGGTAAAAATATTAAACAACAGCAATGAGAGGGCATAGTCTTGAACGACACCCGTTGTTTGTCACGGCGAGAGACTTCTTTCCACGATTTTGCTGAACGGGAAAAATAACTTGTTAGCCGTTGAAAGATAGAAGGGTCGAAGGCAAATATCTTCAGTTTAACCAGCACCTTCCCAAGATGGATTCCATCAAATGCTGACGACATGTCGAGAAATGTCAACCTGAAAACGAGGTCGCTTTTGTCAAGTTGGTTACCAATTTCGTTTGTTAGGGAAGCAATGGCGTCTTTGGTCTCTAGTCCTTTCCTGTAAGTGAATTGCAACGGATCATGGACATCAGCGACTTTCTGTTCTATAAGTGACTGAATGAGATGTTCGAGACACCTAAGCCTGGCAGAAGTCAGCATGATTGGTCAATGTATCAAAACCATTGATCGATATTCTCCTTTACTGTACTGGAGTAATCAATGCCAAGCGTCATATATCTGAAATTAGAGCATGGCGAAGGAAAAGGTTTAACATGTTGCATATTATATTGCATAATTCAGCTGAACGAAGTTACAGCACATAGGGACTACCTCCGTCGGAACTTGAAAATATGTGAAAATGAGCAAGGATTTTTTGCACGTTAGCATTAGGGAACTGTGCAAGTTTCTTTCCTTCGTCAGTCGCTGAAGCAGGGAGTGTCTGGGATTGGCCTATTATTCTCGAATCGCAAAGAAAATGGCTCTTGAGATTAACGTCAGTGTTCTTCGAAGTGAATACCACCTTCGCCTCTTACATAGCGAATTAATGTTTCTCCTCAGACTTTTTGGATCCAAATCATTGAAGCAGTGATTTAACCGAAAATCGCATTATTTACTGCAGTGGAGATGGCTCAACATAAATTGTGGTCGGCCGCTCTGCATGCGTTTTTTTGTGGAGGAGGTGTTGCAGCATCCTGGAGGAAATGTGGCACTTAACGATCAACACCTTCTGAGAAAGGCAGAAATATCACAACCGTCAGTTAAGACAGCCGGATCGAGCTTTTCTTGAACTCCTCTTTCTTTGATAACCTAGGCTAAATTGTAAAACGACCTAAATTGCTTAAGGTTCTCCATGTTGGTGAGGTGAATATCTCATAAGGTATTGGTATGATGAAGCGCCTGCATTTCCCATTCGACTTTGCTACGTACGCTTAAATTAAACGTTTGCGTAGTACGGACAGTGTAATGGTGCGACATTCCGACAGAAACGGCGCAAAAAGAGGTAGATGGAGGAAAGTTCGAAAACACTCGGCCGAGAGTGGCATCGCACGTATGTTGAAGTGTACTAGATTCGTCATGCCAAGTGGTAAAAGGGCTTCAAGACGGTGCCGATTGAAATCTCGTTTCAGAGAATCATTATGTTCTTCTAGTAAAGAAGTAAGATAAAATACTGTTAGGGAGTCCGCAAATTTTTATGATTCTGGGAGGCTGCAATTCCCGAAATTTAAATTCCGAAATTTGAATAAAAATTTTTTCCAGCAGCGAAGAATCATGCAAAGAGTGCTGTAGGACTGAAACAAAAACTTCAGTGTTGGACAGACGCACCATTACTGTCGAACATGTGTTAGGACTCCGCCGCCGCATGTTTGCTTCGTAGAAGTCGATTAATCTGAAATGGTTCAACGTAACCAAGTGATAGGACAGAGTCTCATGCTTGATTGTTAAGCCGCGATTCCT